ACAACAGAAATTAATCCACGTTTAAAGCGCACTGGATTATAAGGCGCACTGTTATTTTTTTAAGAAAATCAAAGGCTTTAGAGTGCGCCTTATAGTGCAGAAAATACGGTAGTTTGATTGTTCAGAGATGTCCCCGCTTACTACTTTAGTTAGCTGTTGTATGTTCTTCTGGCATATCAGTTTTGAAATTTCTGATTGAGCCCACCCACAATGCACTGGTGATTGCGCTCAAACCTAGTAGCTGGGACTGGATCTGATTAAAGCTGGCCTTGACGGGGCATGAGATAGATGCCCTATCAAAGACAGACATCTGCCCTATGGGTGCATTTCAAGATTTCATAGAAGTGTAGAGTGTGATCTACACTTGTCTCCTGCTTTGTTTCGTGAGTTTTATCTGAGCGCGTAGCTTTTCTGTTAGCCTCGTAGCTACGTGAGCCACACCAAGTCAACCTCCATTGCTGAAGATGGCAATTTGGCTTGTTGGCTTGGTGTTCATCCTGCCTACCAAGATCTGCCATGCTGAGAATAGATGCTGCTCTACAGAGTGATACCAAAGACACATAAGTTGAAGGATTCATGATGTGACTAATCAAAGCAAGAGCAGCCTCTGTTAGCCCTTGCTGGTTTATGTAATTCATATTTTACTTATTTATTTTCTGGCAATATAGTTTCCTTTTGTCATTGTTTTGGAATATTGAGTAGCTTTCATAAATGCATTTGATTTACTAGGTTAAGACATGTTTGGCATCGAATAATTTATTTAAATTTCACATTTCCTAATTCATCACTCCATAAGCAAGTAGGATGCGGAAGGGCTTGTCAGTCCAACCATCCAGAGTAAACAATCTGCACTGACCACTTCGCACGTGTAACCACAGGCCAGAACGAGGGCACGCTGGCGTTCAAGGAGGACGAGGTGCTGTACATCATCGAGGAGGACAAGGGAGATGGCTGGACGCGTGCACGGAAGCAGGGCGGCGAGGAGGGCTACGTGCCCACATCCTACGTGGAGATCACTTTGGAGAAGAACAGCAAAGGTGCGGTCACCTACATATGAGCTCCCAGGCCGGGACCACGGCAGTCTGACCAACCGACGCCTACCTCACGTTGCACATCGGCGCTCCACATGCTACCCACCCGCTTGCGTGTCTCGTCATAGTTGGTCCCCGCCAGCGTGTGGAGGACCTTTCCTAACGCGTTCCTCTGCTTTCAGCAGAACACACTATGCACCAGACCTCACGCATCTCCACAAACACCAGCGGGCTTATTTATATGAAGTTATTATTTGAAAATTATCTTTTTAATGTGGCTCCTTCATGTTATCTGATTTGTCCACTGAGCTCCTTATGATTTTCTTTTTTCCATATGGAATACAAACCTTATTTTAGCTGCTAAATTTGTATGCAATTTTGTAAATATTTTTCTGTCCAGATAATTATTGCATTTATTAAAATGGGGGCCTTGACGGTTGTTCCTATTTTTTTTATCTTTATTTTTCTCTCATTTTTGTTTGAACAAATGTCAAACAGTGTCTAAGTGTTTGAACCTTCTATAAAGGGCTCTATACCTATTTATATGAATCTCTGGTCACACTTTCTTGTAACTTCAGTATTTATATCAAATTCCTCTCTGCAGCTGATCTTTATCCTACCTATAAACTCCAGTCCAAATCTCAGGGCCCTGTGATGTCCTGCCCAAGTGTGGCCATGGGGGCGGCGCTCTGTGGCAGTGCTGGGACTCGGCTAGCCTCTGGGCGTTTCTCTGTTCCTCTCGTGTGATGGTGGTGTCTGTAATGCTCCTCCCTCCTTTCTCTCCCTCCTTTCTCTCCCTCCTTTCTCCCTCCTTCCCGTGCAGGTTCCTGAGTGGAGGTGTGGGTGTCAGTGACATTTGGCGAGGCATTGGCGGAGGGTACATGCAGTTCTCAGTCTCTTTTGGTAGTGGGCAGTGGTGAGGGTTGGGACCTACAGAGGTTTAGAGACAGGTTGCATGTGTGCATGCAGACATCCATTACCATTAACCCCATTCCATCGCCATGGCGACGTCTGTGAGGTCACCGGCGCTCTTTAACGGGCTGGCCCTTACCCCGGAGCCACGCACGAATTTGACACAACAGAGCTGTGGGTAATTACAGGGTAGCTTGCCGACTGTGGCATCCACAACCCAAAGAGGCTTGAGCAGTGCCAGGAAAGCCGCTCACCTTCAGACTGGCACTAACAGCTTGTCTCATCCCCACCCCGTCGTAACATTAGCAACGTCTGCCTGTACCAACCTTACATGCTCGCCTTAACATGCCTCAGCATGGAATATGTATTTTTTTCTAGATCCACGCTCAGGGTGGTTCTTTTGCCATCTTGAAACCCCCCCCTCTTCATTCATCTGCATCTTCCTGTCTCCTTGTTCTTTGTTCTTATCGTATCCTGTCCATCCCCTCCCTCTTACAACATTCCCCTGCTAATTCCCAATTGTAACTTCTTATGTTGCGCTGTCGTGAACATATGTGTTGCGCCAAGCATGAGCACTTGAGTTTAGAGGCAGAATTGCAGTAGCCACGAGAAGGCGGTCCCGCAGCCTCCCCGTCATCCCATCCCCCACCAACCCTTGTTGGGAAATGGGAGGGCGCAGTGCCACCAAGCGGCCAGCAGGGGGCTTCCTCTCCCCACCGCTTCTGCGCACGCTGTGACAAAGCTTCGAAGACCCTGAGACTGAGACGAAGTTGCCAGTCAACACTCCAGTTCTACAGTGGGATCCTTGCCTTATTACGAATCTCGGCAACAAGCCTCGGTCTTCTGAGTGCCAGTCCAACCCAAGCCACATAAAAGGGCTGCTCGGAGCAGCGGCCGGCTTCCTGCGACGCTGCTCTGCAATGGGATGCTCCGTCGCTTCTCCAGGTGCTGCAGGTGCCGGGGGACCGTGTTGCGGTTCGGGGACGACAGCAGTGCATCTCCTAAACTTACATGTCTAGCGCATATTTTTGTGAATGTGATCGTACATATAATCATGTGTATGCATATTTATGTGAGTATGTGTATACATATATGTATATATTTAGTTAGTTTTATTACTGGACTTTATATGTATTAACATCTTTTGTTTCATACTGAATGTGTTTCTCTTGTGACTTTTTATAGGGTTTTTATCAGGTGATATACTCACTTTTCAGCATTGTGTCAGTAGTACATAGTAATCATACTTTTCTTCAGAACACCTTTTGGAATAGGGACTTGGTCTAATATTACTTAAATGCACTTTTTCCCTATCACGTTTATATATAATGAATAAATTAATGAATAAAACTGACTCTCTATGTTACCTGACGTGCAGCAACACAGTAGTTAACATTACGCTTTACACACATATACGCAGTTTTCCCCCTTTTGTTTGGCACAACTGCACCATGGAACACGGCACGGCAGTTTGGCCCAGTGAATTCCTGCCATCATCTCTTCTCAGTATTGATGCATGGAGTCGGTGGGCCAGTACACTTGCCTGGTTAAATGCACACTGTCGTCTCTGTGCCTAAAGCACACGTTTGAGGGGGTGCTGGTGTGGTGTTGCGTATTTCTCTTGCTTTAACTGAGACGAGTAGTTGCTGTTTCCCGCGCAATTAATCTGGTCAGTTTCATGATTCTAATACCAAGGTGGGTATGTGGAGGAAGATGTGGAGACGTTATTACTCACTAAGAACTGGCTTAACTGCCTTTATTTGAGATATTTAAGAGCAGACATTATAAGTACTGACGTCAGTTATAACATCCAGATGTTTAGTTTTGACCTGTAATCCTAATACTCAAAGCTGTGAAGTCGATGTTTTACTTTTAATACGGTTTAAAAAGCTGTTCAGTTTGTTCTGGTGAGCTGCTGAACTTTCTGTACTTTTACTACATTTTAAAAGGCTTTTTTATATATATAAATGCAAGAATCGTATTTGAATGTCATTCAAGTAGTGAAGGAACTGAAAGAGTCTATGAGAATGTTGATAAGTAAATTAGTTTTTAACATCACACCTTTTTTGTTTTGTCGGTGTATTTTGTATCGCAGTTCATTATTCATTTTGACTCGCGTTTATGAGGTGACAGTAATCGCAGCGTTTCTAAATGTAAATGGGAACACTTCAGTCTGGATTTATGGGGGCAAAGTAATGTGAATTGAGGAGGTATGCTGTTCAAAGGTGAAATCCACGGACTATTTCTGGTTTAAGAAAAATCCTTTTGTATAAAGAAAAATGCTTCTTTGCCATGTTTGTTACATGCAAATTACCCATGCAGAAAAAAAACACAACTTTCTTAAGGCCACTTGCAACATCTCTTGCTATGGTATATTTGCAGAAATTAAGTAGAACTGAACAATGTAAGATTTCACAACAGAATCCATAGATGAATCAGAATTTAATGTTTTCCTGCTCCTGCTAGGAATAAAGTAAAAGTGCTTTAATTGTCATTGTCATGAAACTTGCTACCAACATGAATGAATGAAGGAATGAATGAAAACAGAAGAGAACTGAAAACTGTGACATAAGTGATTCAGTTGACTAATTATAAACAGGGTACTAAGCAGGGTGTCTGTTGTAATGTTCCCATTGCTCAAGTGTATGTTCCATTAGTGTCATGTGCGTGAACAGGATACCCATGGCAGTTTTCTTCACATGAATCTGACTGAGTGGACTTGGAATAATCAAAACAATGACAGTAATTGCACTTCTGCATCTTGCTGAGCACATTTTTCTTTTATACTTTTTATTCTTGAGACACTTTGAAAGACTGCTCTCTCCTGAGAATTTGAATTTGTTCTAATAAAATAAATAAGAATCACATTTTTTTTTTCCCGTCTCTGAGTTCCAGAATTTGTATTATTTGAATGTAAATTGAATCCGTTTTGGGTAATAATTTACTTAAACATCTTTACACAAGTCCATAATTTGCCTGCAGCCATATTCACATAAGTTATTCCTTACCTTTATAAGGTGCTACTTACATAGCTTTACAAATATATACCAGTTTGGGTTTTTTTAGTACAGCTGGAGGGTGTCACAGAATAACACTGACTGGCAGGAGCAATCACGGCTCTGTGATTTTTGAACCTGTATGTTCTGGTCTTGATTTCTTCCTTATGTATGCTGCCTAATGCGCCGTGGTAACCTTGAAACTTCTCCACCTGTTTTCTAAGTGAAAATGGTTAAAGTCCAAAGAACCATAAGACAGTGTTTCTCAACCCAGTCCATGGGGGCCCTCAGATGGTTCACATTTTTGCTCCCTGGCAGACAGTCCACATATATGCAAAAACGTAGGTCTCCGAGGACTGTGTTGAGAAACACTAACGCAGAACATAAAAGCAGAGAATAGGTCCTATATAACAGACGATAAAAGCAGTGTGTGCTGGGTCGTAATTTGGATCAGTGAGGGGGGGCTCTGTTAGTGCATTTTTTGCTAAGTTCCACCAACCCCTCTACAGTAGGACATTTGGATTATGTACATGGCAGTTTCAACAGGAGAACACATTACAGTCTTAACTTAACATGCTCACACCTGACCATGACTGTTATTTACAACCACTTCTGACTCTACGACATACTGTGCCAACAGAAAATCCGCTATTCATACAGCACTTTTAAACCCCTTGTAAATCAGGACAGCCTTCCATCCAGGTCCGCCTCCCTTTCGCGTTTTACACATTCAGCTTACCTCTTTCCTGATTTCCCAGATTTTCCCTGAATTTTCCATCTGAGATAAGACATTGTTACACTTTAGCCATCCATGGCTTTTCAAAAGAGCACTGGGCCTTTCTCATTGCTGTGTAGTGATACACGAAAACTGTATTCCAGTTTGCAATGGCCTACTTAAGCCAATGCTCCTTTGCTGCACACAGCTACTGAAATGACAGTCCTGTAATGTAACAGGAGGTGTACAGTAAGTCCTCGGGTTAAGAATGTCCGACTTACGGACAATTCATACTTATGAACAGACTGCCATAAAGCCTCGTATATTAATGTGAGTTAAATACAATGTTCTGTAATAATAAACATGAGCACTACTTTGTGATGCTCAAGAAAACATTGCATGGCTTCAGTGGTTTGATGGCTCAAGGTACATTACTGTACCGTATGTAGTTTAATTTTTACTGTATTATTATTATACTGTATTATTGTTCCAACTTGCCTAGAAATTCGCCTTAAAGACAGACTTAGGGAACGGATCACATTTGCAGCCTGTACTGTATTTTTGTCAAAGCACTGGATCGATAACTTGTAGAGGAAAGGTATATCAGATCAAAATAAGAACATAAAGGTGGATGTATGTTGAACATCTATTTCTAAGGACCAGTCTGAGGAGAGCTGGTGTAGTTTTGTGTGTGTGTATATATATATATATATATATAAAACTATTAAATATAAGTACAGTCTATGTACACAAGCCATTTCCTTGCACTTTAGGGCAGAGAGATTCTTTCATGACCACAGTACCAGGAAGTCCAGCCTGTTGAAAGGTTCAGCCACTGAGCTGCAGTTTCTGGCTGAGCAGTGGATTGACGCCTAAGTGGTTCCCCTGCTCATCATGGGGGTATTTACATGCTGTTCAGTTCTTTCTGCTTCATAGTTCAGTGTGCTTGACACAGGGCTCCAGTTTTCGGGACAGAGCTGTGAGGATGAGTTTGAACTTCTCGTATCTCTCCGCCTGATTTACTGCTGCCCCGCGGCTTCCCCAAAGGAGCCGTAGCTGAAAGTCTGTCTTGAAGATCTCCAGCAAGTCCTCATTGGGTTGGAAGTCTTGAGGAAAAGATATAAGAGAAAGTTTATTGTTCCTGTCCTGTTGATCAGGGCTATACAAATCACGGTCATCAAGGGCCGAGTATTGCTGATTTTCCAGCCGCCCTTCACCTGTGAGCCAGGTGTGAAGTCTCTGACCAATCAGAATCAGTAATTATTAAACTCACTAACTGAATGAACTGAAAAAAAGGCCTGGATTTGAAATCCAGGGCCAGATTAGGAGGGCGAAGCTGCAGGCCTTCCTTTCTCCAGCCTAAATGTTTAATTGGCTACTTTATGAATGAAAGTTTCTGCAAAATGCATAAATTTCAGACTCTATGGCTCATGTGGCTTGATACCTTGTAGGATGCGATCTGTGTTGGAGGTGTACACGTCTGCATTGTGAGCCATCTTCCTGGCCTCCTCCAGGTGACGAAGCATAATCTCGCAGCCCTGGTCATTGTTCTCCCAGTGTTCAAAGCCCTCAAAGGCCACTGCGGGGCGCTCCATCAGGGTCAGCAGGGGCATCAGGAGCGGCACAGTGGTGGTCTTTAGTGGCACATCAACTGCACAGGTGATAGAAGCAAAAGTACACCGGCACAGGAATCAAATCGGTATCCAGCATGAATTGAACTCAACAGGAAGCCTCATCCATCTTCCATCTCGCTCAGGGTTACGGAGAGGCCAGAAGCCTCTGGCAAGCTGGAACCCAAGGCAGAGGAGCACGCCGGATGGGTAGCCAGTCCCTCACAGGGCAGATGCACACACAGTCATATGCTACGTGTAGAGATACCAAATATCGGTTACCATATCGGTATCAGGTGATATATCTGTTACGTTTGCATCAGTGTGATGTGGCAGTCGACCGAAATTGCTGCGTGATAATTAGGCTTTAGTCACTATTCAAAGTCAGCCCCAGAGCTACTGGCATAACTACTAAAATGACGGAGATGATAGCATTAGACAGTCAACCCTTTTCCGTAGAGAGATTTCATCAGCTCATTCACCACTCATTACAGGTCTAGCCCATGACATGTTTTCAATTCATTATCTAATCTAGTCCACAAATCAGTCTTTCGTTTTGTACAGCATATAAAAAATAATCAGCCTTTGTAAGTGGTTCAGAGATTAGCTGGTTATCGATCATATTGGACAGAAATATAGTGGTTATCAGTATCGGTCATCCGGGGGTGTTCCCTGCCATGTGCCCTTAGCCACCAGGATAGGCTTTGGACCCCCGCAGCCCTGAGTAGCTTCAGTGGGTACAGAAAGTGGATGGATGGGTATCGGTCCAAATTCCCACATCAGTGCAGCACTAACTATGGACAGTTTAGAAGCTGCGGTCGGCCTAGCTGCATGTCTCTGGCCTGCTGTAGGAAACCCACAGATACACAGGTGGGATTGCAGCGCTGGAGGTCTGGTAACAGTACCCCCCCACTGAGCCCCTATGCTCCCTGTAAGGAAACTTCCAGATCCTTGTTAAATATTAATACTCTAGCGAGTTCAGTAACAAAGGGAACAAATATCTAATGAAGTATTTTTAATACTCACCACTGCCTTCGTACAGTCCCTTATAAAAGGGCTTGAGGGTCTTTTCATACAGGATGGCCGTATGTGTGTATTTCCTTCTTAAGGTGGTCCACGTTTGGTCTAACCGTGTGATCTGTGGACAGCACAAGCCATGAACTCACAGGCACGCATGTCCATCGAGAAACTCCCACCCTTCCGCCCTGTAGTCCCCCAGAGGCGCCGATCCGGCCCAGTGTACTACCTGTGACATGTCGAGCGCCTTCATGATCGCCGAGAAAGCATAAAGGTCCCCCATGGAGTCCTTAAGTTCCAGTGCCACCAGTATGATGCGGTTGAGGGTCACGGCTCGCTCCTCCAAAGTGCCCGTGCAGCCGAGGATGTCCACAGCCACCCCGATGCACATGGTGTTGTGCCTGAGCCGCGACATTCATGTTAGTGTGTTCTGTGCTACTTCACTCTACTGTGCTCCTGGTCATAATCACCTATGACTGAGACAACAGCTTGGAGAAACATCTGCTTGGGGCACTTACAGCTGGGCTGAAGTACAACACAGTAGTAAGTGCGTGAATGGTTTGTGGCGAGTTCCATTGTGTTAACGGGGACATGATTTAAATACTAAACGTTTTTTATCTATCATCTGTACTCTGAATGTTTGCGAAGATCCCGGACTATTCCCACCAAGCCATGTGCAAGTGCGCAGGCTGCCTGGTTGCCACGACTACCTCTCCATCAGGTCCTGCCGCAGCTGTCTGCCGTGCGGGAGGGTTGCCAGCTCCAGCCCCGAGTTCACTCCCATTGCACATCTCATCTCTTCAGAGACGTTCAGAGTTCTGGCCACCTGAAAGATAAGCACTGATAAGCCGGCTATTCGGAACTTCAGTTCCATAACAAGAAAGCTTCTCTGAGCTCCGCAATCATTCACATTCATTAAAGGAAAAAAGCTTTACAAACCACTGTAATGAGCAGCTGAGCTTTTGAAGACTAAGCCTTTGTTCCATTTAAAATAATTCTTATGTTACTACCAATTTGATAAGATGCTTGGTCACAATTAGGGACTTTGTGTTGCTGACCACGAGTTCCCACTTACTGAAAAGCACAGTGAATTCCAGCTTTATTCCACAACTATGTAAAACCAAACAAGACTCTAGGCTTTTTACTGTTTTTAATTTTTCAGAATTAATAATATCACTTGTCTGCTAGTCAGCCAAGGGCTTCTTCTTTCAGACTGTGGACAGCAGTCTGCAGTGGTCTTAAGCAGTAATGGGTACCTGGCTGTCAGCATACAGCAGGGTCTTGGCGATGGTCCTGTGGTCCTGAGAGACAAGAAGCTGCTTGGCCTGTTTCAGCACAGACATCTCCAGGGGCTTGTTCTCAGGGGGGAGGAGCCTGGTCTCAAACTCTGCAGGCCTGAATGCAGAAGTCGTCTCAAATACAGGCCGCTTGAAGACCTTTGCCTTCAGCTCCATTAGCTGCTCCTCCTTCTCCTTCTTAGTCTCCAGCAGATCCAGGTGTTGCCTGTCTGCGCTCCATTCCTCATTGCTGTCTTCCAGGGCTTCGATGGCTCTGTGGTACGAGCTGCGGTTGACCGAGCCACAGGACAAGCTGGCTTCCGGTGTCACGGGGCATCTCTGGTTCGCCTCGTCTGCCCTCAGCCGCTTCACGTAACCGTCACCGGGGTGCATCTCAGTGGTTCTGTCCCATTCTGCCACTGTGCTGGATCCAGGCTCGCAGGCGCCTGGCTCGGGGTTCAGCTGCGCCGGAGGCTTCTGGGGTTTCTTTGGAGGAGCCGGAGGTGCGATGGGATGTAGCCGTGGGGAGCGAGGAATCTTGGTGGAAGGCACTTTGCTGGGTTTTGGGGGCGGCTTGGGGTACAGCTGGCTATCCGAGCCTCGGATCGCTTGTCCAGCATGCATCTCGAAACAGGGCTTTCGGGGGACAGTGGGGCTGAGAACAGGCTCACTGCCCGTCCTAAACACGGGAGACTTGGGGCTCGAATGGGAATCCATGAGATGGGATTGGGTCTGGGACTGTGGCTTGCAACCTGGGAGATAAAGCCATTTGTGAACATGGGAAACTTACAGCCATTCCTGTGCTCTTGGATTAAATAGTTTCTTCAGTGTCTGGATAGATTTCTGCTTGGAGGCTATGACCAAGATTACTAGTCCATTGCCCAACACAACAGCGGTCTGCAATTTGAATGACCATGCACAAATGACAAGTTCTCTTGCTTCTGATCTGATCTAGTTAGAAAGCTTTATACAAATGCAGTATTATAATTACAGTACAGACTTTATAATTATAAAACATTTAATCCTACACTTTTGACCTAAGTTGTTTACTATGAATAATGAAAATGAAGTGATTTGAGAGGCCCACAATTTTTACGATGGAATCATGTTTTCTTGTTTCAGGATTGCAAAAACCTATACGTCTCTAAAAGGGGGTGTTTAAAGTCTCCTACGTAACACTAGCATGTTGTTTTTCTGTCGGGTTTGCGAACGAGCTGCTTCATCAGAGTGGACGAGAAGTGACTCTTACCGAGTGGCAGGAAGCTCTCGGACTGGTGAGTCTTCAGGGGCCGACGTCTTTCCTGTACGTGGTTCAGACACGCCGGCTGACTCCCGCATTTGTCCTTGTTCCTGTGGGGGGACAGTGACGGACATGACAGCACACATCAGCATGCAGAGCTCTCCCGTCCTCTCTGCCGTCAACAGCAAGCAAGGAAGTCCCAAAAAAGCCTGGACCTAATACATCGTGTTTGTAATGTAAATAGAAGCTTGTAATTTGTTGGGCTTTTCTGTCGTCGTTTGCCCTGGCATCTTCACTGGCGCTCCTGGTTTGAGGTCCTTGGTTTATCCTAGACATGCACTTATGTGTGTTGGTTATAGTCCTGTTGTTTATATGCTGTTGGAACAAAATACTATCAGTTATACTGCAGGTTTTTCTAAAACCTTCCTAGAAACTTTTAAGGGCATCCACAGATTCCAGTGTTTATTGTTTAGACAATGCTATGTTTAATTACTTAAAGGGAATTCCAGCCCACCAGTTACTAGGTCAGTCTGCTCATCAGCCTGTGAGGTGCCTCCCTCGATACGCAGCATGTTTTTTATTCATTAGAGCGCTCTACATGTAGTAAACTGTGCAGTGCATTCCCATGAATTCTGCTGCTATCAGACTAAAATATTTATGGTTCATTTGATTGCAAAATGCTCTCTGGGAACTGTATGAAACTGCCAGCTGCTGACTCTGATTTATACGCCTGGAGAAACACGCATTTTATTACTGCCAAAAGCTCAATAAGTGTCATTTGGTATCGATTTGAAGTATGAACAATATATATGTATGTGAAAGTCATATTTCTGTGGAATGACCTCACCTCAGGAGGTTCCCCCGGGTCAGGGGGTGGTCTTGGCCGTGCCCGTTCGTGATGTTCAGGCTGAGCCGTTTGGTGGGCAGGCATTTCCGTTCCATTGCGGCAGGCTCCTGCCGGATGGGTGCTGCCCCGTACTTCTCCTCCAAGCAGCGCAGTGGAAGGACCCGGTTTATGGGCTGGAAAATGATCGCCCCGACAACCGCCGACACAGGCTTACGGTTGCCCACGTAGTAGCGCACCAGGGCGGGCACACTGTCGAAGCCCTCGCTCTCAAAGAGATACTGCACCCGTGAGTAGGCCTCGCTCGCTGCCACCATCTTTTTGTTGATCTTGAAGTGCTGTGGACTGTTTTTCCATTGGCAGGTCAGCACATAGTTCCCTGGGCTGGATACGGAGTCCCGGATCAGGAAGTCCCCGTCCCTCTGCAGCAGGGTCTCCGCAACCTGATGGGTCACACAGGTTTACATTCAACCCAATTTGTTTCATTTAATGCTTTCAATAGCAAATAGTCACCTGTTGCTTTCTTAAAGGCTGTTACTGTGGCGACTGCTTTTCCAAACCAACTTATTTGAATAGTGTCTGGGTTCTGAAGGGGCGTGACCCTCAGCCCTGGAAATCTGGCATCAGCTAATAACTGGGGTGTCCCAGTGTGTATTTTCAACCCTGGGCCTCCAGCTTAATTTTAGTATTTATAGGCAGAGATGGACATAACTGGTACACAAGTACCCATTCACCTTTAAAAACAATATGTGTGACAATCGATTGTTTGTAACAGTGTAAATGCGTACTTATTTTATGTACATTTGCGCTGATATGAAAACAAAATATAATGTATTTTAATCTTTATATGCTAACTCTACTTCATTTGCGGTATACAGGTTAAAATGCAAGGTATTTTCTTGTCATACCAGCTCAAATGCACATAAAATAAGTACGCATTTACACTGTTACAATCGATTGTCGCACATACTGTTTACTTGTGTGCCAGTTATATCCATCCGTGATTATAGGTTATGTAATCCTTCTTGGTAGAGGGGCTGGTATTTTAATTAAGTGTGGAGATTTTATACTTTCTTTTCATAATAAGGCTCCTGCCACTAGGGAGACTATTAAACTGGATTAAGGTAAACAAAGCGGCTGCCTTGTTTTCCAAGGGGGGGGGGCGGGGGGGCAAGGAGGGCATAAAAGTGTTTTCTGATTAAAAGAAGAAAAAAAAAGGTGTGGCCGTGAAACACTACTACCGTGCGAGGGAGAGAACCCCCAGCGACCCAGCCCTGTGCCACCGTCTCCCCCGGTCACAATCAGCCCCGTTTTACACCCCCTCCAGTCTGCACTGTATTATTATTTAATTTTTATTAACCCAGTTTAAGTATCCTGTGTTCAGATTTTCAGATCGACTTCATGGACAGTGCTTGGTCCATAGAGATGGAGGGACTATATTCATAAATTTTCCCTGAAGTTAGGCCAATAGTGTCATTTCCTTCTTTTTTTGTGGATGATATGGTGGGGAGCTGCTTCGCCCCTTGACTATGTGACTGCCCCCCCCTCCCCCATCACCCACGTACGCACATAACCTACATGCACTTTGACACCAGGCTGCACATCACCTCCTGCTTTGTGACATCACGCGGGTCACTGCCCTTCGCCTGTCCCTTATCATCCCGCGCAGACTGACATCTCTCGTCATGTGTTTGTTTGCACAAGACGTGTTACGTATGACATTGTGGGAAAATGCGGAACGTCACCATGCCTTTAAAGACAGGAGGGGAAGAACATGGGTCATCTCATATACTGTCTGAATCTTACTCACTCTGATTGAAATATACCTGCCTTTGTCTTGTCGGTGAACATGAATTTTAGGATGCAGCCAACAAGGGTTAAGGAAATGGTAAAAACCTCATCTGAGACGGTATGGGTCAGTTCCAAGGGGAATCAGGGACTCGATAGCAGAGTTTGTTTAGGCAGCAACACGTGGGAAATGCTGTCTTTTGTGGCAGAGCAACATTGCCAGTAATCAGTCAGTGTTGTCACATCAAGACCAGCCCGAAGCCTTTCTGTTCACTCTCACCGGAAAGTTCCTGTGTCCGGCAGCTGAGCAGAGACCGCCAGCCGTCTGCGGCTGAATGCTCTTGCTGAAAGCACAAGGTTGAGGTGAAAAGCGCAGTGAAAGGCCTAAGAGGTGGGTACAGAGTGTCAGCTGGCAAGGAAGACAGCCACAGCTACAGTGCAAAGGTGCTGGGATACCAGGAAGGCATTTTAATTTAATTTGTTGTATCAAAGTACTGGGCATGTTTTCAAAGAAAGTATACTGTATATTTGATTATTTTTGATGGATAAGGTGTTTACAGTGGTAGAGCTACGTACACGTTACCTGGTAACCGATAAGAAGATGTATCCCACAATGACCGGTCACCAGATAGACAGCTAGTCATTGGTTATAATTGTTTGTGGTTATATGACTCACTGATACCATACAAGGTCTGTTCGCACAGCTGACATCACTATCTCTGTTTTTTGTGCCTACAATCATCAGTCTGCAGGGAGCTGTATAATAACAATAATCATCATCGCTGTCCGCAGGCTGCTTGGCTGATTTTTCATGCCCCAAACTTGGCTTTTCCCACAGCAGCACAGGTAAGTTTGCCTAAATGTCTCCTCACGTGTTCTCTTTGACGGTCCGATCTTGCTAAAGTTATAAATATTCCTCTCAGCTCCTGGGCTTGTTTTTGAGCAGGGGCCTGTCACCTGTCACCTGTCACGGAAGCCTTCGCCCAAACTCATCGTCTTCATTCCCCTTTTACTTATCTCACATACCAGACCTCCTTTTGGCAGATCTTGTCAAAGGGGCCATTTTAACGCGCCGCTGGAGGTGACCGTCGTACTCCATCATGCCCCTCGTCGGCTGTGGGCCCGTGCAAAGCAAACTTTGAAGTTCTAGAAAAGGTTATTTCTTTATCATTTCCCTTTTTTGCCCTTTTCATCTTTTTGCTATCTCTCTTCCCCCCCCCCCAAATGGTGGCATTCTCTCTGGATGCTGCCCCCCTGGCCTCGGATAGACGGGTGGCCCTGCTGTGTGATGGACGATGCGGCATGAATTCCCCGTTAATGAAATCAGCAGAAGCCTGCAATGGGACACCACACCGTTGCCATGGTTATTCCGGAGGCCCCTCCTCAGCCGGGACGCTTTGCCGGGGCTCATCGCGTTTCACGGACGGCCCGGAACGCGGCGGCGCTCAGCAGCCCATGTCTCATTCCGTTATTGTTTTTCACTAAGCGCTTGAAGAGTTTGCGCGGCCACACGAGAGACGGGTGACACACGTGTTATTAGTGAACCAGAAAGAATTCAGGAGCCAAATCATTTTGCATTCGCTCTCTGAGTATGATCCACCCCCCCAGCCCCCCCCCCCCACTTGGTGGACCCACTTGTCCCGCTCATACCTGTCTGGGGATGGCGCCGTGGTACCAGGCATGGCTGCGGGGCTCCTCACTGGCCTGCTTCAGCTCCTCCTCCAGCTCCTTGCGCAGCTTCTCTGGGGGGCCCTCCATGATGTATTTGTCCCTGGAGAACTGCACATGGACAGGAAGGATGGGCGGCTTGAGCGTCCTCAAAGCCATGGCTCGTCGCGAGCGCCTTCCTCTCTCCCGTCTCCTCCCCTCTCACTACTGACCTCTCAGCAAACAGCCCCCCGCCCCGATAATCGTCTGAGGGCTGTACCTGCTGTACCTGCCCGCTTTGATGTTTACATTTTCATCTCCCGCACTCCTGACAGTACGCCCCCTTCCCCAGGGCCCCACCCTCACCTGAGGCCGCATTGTGCTGCCAGTGACTCACCCACAGTGCGGGGGTGGTGTCACTGACACAGAGAAAAGCGTGATCTGATCGTTCTTGGATATCTGCAGGCCGCCATCGGGCATCGCCGCTCCCTCCACCACACCTTTCATCTAACGTTTCCTCTGATCTGTTATTGCCACCCAGTGACTTTGCCTTCTCCTTGCCGCGGTGGGGCACCCAGCACCCACCTCCGCTAATCCGCAAATCAGAATGTCTAATTAAAGTGATATCAGCCAACTGGAGACGGGATTCTGGGGCCCCAGTGCGGAGGCAGTCCAGAGTAGCTTTATTTTCCTTTCAGATTGTTCCACACAGGCTATTGGAGCAGCTGACATTGTTCTCCATCTCTCTGTTTGTTAACCTACAGCCCAAAAACAATCCTTTCATTTTGCCTAAACTGTTTTCCTAGAGCTCTGGACAGAGAGCCATGATTGTATAGTAACACAGAGAGACGTGGTGGGGGTCAACCCATTAGGTGCCAGAGGGGATTACACAAACACACACCAGAAAATACGCAACAGTAAAAAAAAGATTTGGAATTTGTCTCCCCATTCCGTTTTAACAAATCACCAACTTGCAAACGAATAAACAACCATAAAAAATGATAATTAAAAAATACAGTATGGCCCCCCGATCACTCTGGCCCACTTTGTCTTGGACAGGGGGCGCCAATGCTGAAGCTCGCCTAGGGCGCCAATGCTGAAGCTCGCCTAGGGAACCAATGCTGAAGCTCGCCTAGGGCGCCACATGGGCTTTGACTGACATTCTATACACTTGGATATTAGTTGTGGCTTCAGCACTTTTCCTGGTTTCTGTGGAGAGCATAACACCTCTGCTGTCTTTGGTTCTCTTTGCTCAGTTTGCTGCATAGCAAAGATTGCAGAGAATAAAGACAATGTGATGGAAAATTTCACAGAAGGTTCAGTTAGATCTGAGAAACAGACTCTGCAGGGTTTTGGAAGGAGAGGCTCTGGTCCAAGTACGACAGGACATGCTGAAATGAAATTACCGAAAGAGCTCCACTCTCTGGAGCTCCATGGATCATGTGTACGTTTGTCTATCATGAGTCTCACTGTCATCTCTCTTGTGAGTCTTTCTCCCTGTTTAGTTGCTTTTTGTTAAAATAATAAGCTTTAAAGGAATGGCTAAGCCTGAGATAAAAACAGTGCAACCAGTAACATGTCCCAGTGTGTATCAGTCATCAGAGTGTTGGAGGTTTCTGTATGACATCCCAGAAGGGCCGGGAAGCGGGAGGATTACTGTTACATTTATTCACCGCTCACTTCCTGAAACACAATATTGTAGTGGTGCAAGATTATCGAAGACACCCTGAACCCGCTGGATATTATAGATCATATGTAGCAACCACTTCCCAAACCAGATATGTCATACGGCAGAAAAATGGAACACAGTGTGTTCGCCAGCACACTTTGATCTGTAGCATTAACTCGGTATGTAGTACGCACTGAAACTCCTTCTATTAATTATTTTGTAAAGGATAAAACATGATGAGATGTGCAGTTATACGAAAATAATCCATGACAGCTTGGTGTAATACGGCCCGACGCCATGTCGTCACTAAGTAACCATAAAATCCATCAACAGACAGGCTCTTGCATTTTGAAAATCAAGGAGAATTATGCTGATAAGAATGGCTGCTTCTTTATGACTAAGAAGTCACACAGGTTTTTATATTGACATGTTTAATAAGACATTAAAATGCATTAATATAGAACAGTTATTAGGCTGTTGGAACTACCTGTGTACACAAAAATAAAAAACACGCATGAGACATCTCTGGACCAATAAGAAAACAGTATTTACCAAAGCCCTGGTATAAATCAATATAATGCATACAGACAAAGGGATACTTGATAATAATAAATTTAAATTGTGTTGTCAGTCCTTGAACCTATAGCTTTCACAGATTATTTGTTAGTGATTTACTATTAAACTTGCAGAATGGAGAATTAAACATGCAGAAATTAATCATTACATAGTTTTTAATTACAGCAGTATAAACAAAGTGCAAAATATGGTTGCAGAGTTACGTTTGTAAACTCTAGCAAATGTGTAAGGTGCATGTAAAGTGTGAAAACCCACTGATGCAGCAGGATAACTATAGAGCAAGGCCACACGAACAGTCATTATGCTGAAGTTCTTCAAACCGAGAGCTAAATATGTCTGCCTATGGTTAAACTAGGCCCTAGAGAATAAAAGGGGGCCTTGGATGTCTTGCTTTTCTGTTGTGGTCGGCCGAATTACATGCTAAATAACACCGTAACAAGTCTGAAGGGTATTGTGTTTATTTTCAAGTCGAGGGGAAAAACCGTAGTGGAAAGTCCATTTTAAATTAAGGCTGTGTTTTGTGTTTTTAACAAAGTACTTATAGTAATTTGCTAGAGAGGGTTTCCATCAGCTGTGGAATTATATATGACATATATGGTTTATTAGGTAGCTCTACTTGAATGTGCAGGGTATGTGACCCCCCCCCCCCAGATAAAAATAGAGTTTATGGTTTCATTTAGGAGCAGATTGCGTTCTGTCTTTCAGCAAACCTCAGACTTCATAATTAAAATGAGACCCTGGCAATACAGCATGGTGGTGACGCCACGGACGTCTGGGACGCTAAAGTCATCATGTTTGCTGGTGTTTTCAAGGCCAGAGTCACAAGAGAGTCGCGGCGGAGTGATACAGACCGACACGGAGCGAGCGCAGCTCACAGGCCGGATCGCAGCGGAGCCGCACGCACTGACGCGGAGCGAGCGCAGCACACAGGCCGGATCGCAGCCGAGCCGTATGCACTGACGCGGAGCGAGCGCAGCTCGCAGGCCGGATCGCAGCCGAGCCGTATGCACTGACGCGGAGTGAACGCAGCACAAAACACAAATACAGATGAACTAGCAGCACTATTCTAATAACATATTTTCCTGAAAAGCTTTTTATTGCTTTTCTGAAAAACACCCATTATGTCTGAAGGTGGTTTTTTTGGAAACATGGTTATTACTGCCCAGGCAGGTTTTACCAAGAACCAAAGGCTCATGTGTCCTCAGCACTGTAATGGGTAAAAAGGACCACTGCGGCATCAGGTGTCCTGGGGCTGAGTGGCCGTCTCCCTGACTTCCCATGGGCTTTCCACGCTGGGAAAGGGGGGAGGGGCACATCGGACCTGTCTCACGTTACGTTCCATCATCTACGGCACAGGGAAGCCACCACAGGCACTGGGAAGACTGGTTCCCATGTTCAGTGAGGCTCTGCACGTGTAAATTAGTCCTGTACATTAACTGTTACTTTTTCTGAATGCAATACCGTGGGATATTCTGGGGCAGGTAAGTGAAAGTGATGTCCCCTTGTTCTTAAAACGGCTGACAGGCCAGCTGTTCAGGTCCGCTTCAGAGACGGATCGGTCACACTGCTGCATCAGTGGGAGGGCCGTCTGTGTTCACTTTGAACACTTGCCAGTCCACTGATGCCTTGAGCTCCTGGAGCCTTTGAAGATGAGTTACATGCAGCGAGGTCGTGTCCGTCACGCCTGTCAGCACACGGCGGGGGCCGTGGGGAGGGGAGGTGGCCAGGCTCGAGAGCTCTGACGGGCAGCAACGCGCTCCTGCTGCCAGGAGGAGCCATCAGGTGCCCTGAGATGCAGCTCATTCTTAAGTTCAGTCAACCCCAACTGCGGTGAGTCACTGGGGCAGGTGAAGAACTTGGTGTAAAAGCCAGACGATCACCACTATACATGACAGCAAAGGTTGCCTTGTTTTTGAAGAGCCATAAAAAAAAATCCATCTTCTTACCTTGGTCTGGGTGGCAGGGGGAGGGGGTCTGAAGCCTAGGCGAGGACTACACCCCGGATGGGATGTGAAGCCCGCCAACCCTGGAGGAATTAGCGACAGTGCTACACACTGAGCCCCCTGACTTGGGTCCTAATTATGCCAAAAATACTCCCCCTGCAAAATAGTGTCACCTTCCTGTCCGCCCTTGAGTCAGCTTCTGTAAACGCCATATTTTTAGAGTCTGACAAAAGACTCTGCTGGCTGGAAGTAAACCCCGATACCTCGTTGTGTTGTAGGGGTTAGCGACTGGCAGCTCTCTTTCTCAGGGCTGACAAGATTCGAGGAGCCCTTTCAGAAAATTCATCACCAGCTATCTATACATGCTGGTGGCCAAGCGACTCCTCTTTACAGACTCGTGATGTAATCTTCATATCTCTCTGTTTATGACTGCACTGCGCAACAACAGCACTGAGAAAACAGCTAAGCAAAGAGTGTGCCTGTCCACCCCAAACCCCCACAGCTGTATGTATTAAAAGCAGCTCTTTTAATAATTTTATTGCAGTGTTTATTTTCTTGTCTTTCCTAATTAAGTATGTGACTGCTCTTTAAAAGAGCACTCATTTAATAAACAGTCACTCTTTAAAATCCATTAGAGTTTGCGCCGGTGACGTGGTTGGAAGTAGAATCATCCCAGAATGATGAAGGTGAAACCACAGAGAGCTGCTGCCTTTAATAAAGCTGCACCTTCTACGCATCCAGTGGGCTTTTAAAGACGTCCTCTCCCTCGGTGTTTTCCTCGGCAGTTCTCTGAAGTTGACGCCTGATGTGGCGAGCTTTGTTTGTGGCTCAGGGCAGTGGCGTTCCCAGCCAGCGGCATTCCCAGGGATTGGTGTTCCCAGCAACATGTCCACAGACAGCGGGCCAGACGCAGCGGTGATCAGGTCAGACACGAGCTCTGCGCC